TAAGATAGTATTGCCATCTAGTGGTCAGAAAACAAACGTTTCCCTTCCACGAAGATAAGAGAAAAGCAGATAAAGTAGGGGAAGTTTGAGAAGGCCAGCAGGAAAATTTTCTTTTCACTCACACTGCAGATACTAGAAGAGGGTTAGGTCTCACCGCCATGACCATCAGAAGACACAGCTATGGCTGTGTGCGGGTACAAGGTGGGTTTAGCTCCTAATTCTTATTAGTGTTTGTGTTCATCACATTTTTTTTTTCATTGCCATGACAAAATACCTGACAAAAGCAATTTAAAGAAGGGAGGATTCATTTGCGCTCATTGTCTAAAGGGGGTTATAGATCACTATGGTGGCAACAGAAGGTAGCCAGGCACACAGTACCCACAGTCAGGAAACAAAAATGGTGAATACCAGACTCCTTGCCTTTTCTTTTGTTTTATTTTTTTCTTTGTTTGTTTGGTTTCTTTTATTCTGTCCTGCTTTCTTTTGTGTGGACAGGGCTTTCTGCCAACATTCACCATGTAGTCCAGGCTAGCCCTGAACTTCTGACAACCTACCAGTCTTAGCCTTTGAAATACCTACTTTACAGGCACAAGCCACTACATTCCACTTGCTTTCTCTTTTTTATTGAGTCTGGGGTCCCAACCCTACAACTTTCTGGCCATCTCTGCTCACATCACTTAAACTTGCATGGAAGCACCCATATACATACACATCCAGAAGGGCATTGTCCAGGTGATTCTAAATCCCATCAAGCTGATGGTCAAGGTTACCCACACACTGGCAAATGGCTTTGAGCAGGTTAATTAACCTCATCCATTGTTCTGAGAAATGGGGAAAAGAGCATCTAACCATGTATTTGGTGAGGCAATCAAATAAAATATTTCATGGCATGTGTCCACTTGACACATGTATTGCAACCACTTGAAATGTCACGTGCTGCTGTAACACAAAAACAACTGATAACAGCTGGGGTAGAAGAGGGGATGGGCCTGGGCGGTCAATAAGTTAGTCACTCAAATGAACCACGCAGGCCTGTTCTGAGGGAATCAGTCCCTTGTTTTCTGAGTACAGTTTCATTTCCTCTTTCAATCCATCATCCCACTTTACTGAACGTGTTGTCCTCTACAATATTAATAGTCTCCGGGTCTCCTACATTAATTTGATTGTCTGGTTCAGTAAGTAGAGCTCAGCATTGTTCTTAGGCTGCCCTGCCCTGGGTTCTCCCTACCTTCCTGCCCATAAGAACTTCTTATCTGTTCTTCTATTATTTCAAGCAAGTGCCTGCTCTTCTATCTGCTTACCACATCCCAAGGGAAGGCCTCCTATTTCCAATGCAGGGTTTTTAAAACTCTTTCCCTGAAATCATTCATATCCTTCCATTGACCGTCTTTATGAACAGGTGGTTTGAAAGCAAATAAGCAACTAATTTTTTTCAAAGTTTAATATTACAACAAATTTCAGGATCCTTGTAATATTTCGGAAACAAATCGTTTTGGGAGCAAGCATTACAAAACCACTCAAATTCATGTCAAAGTTAACTTTTATCTGGGCTAGTTATTTAGTACTTCCCTGATAACTGATTCACCAAAAGTTAATATTTATCCTTGAATAGCCTTTACCTCTGCACTGGGCAGTGAGCCACTATATCAGGCTTTGCATGGCTACCTCTTCATACCGCTATTCCTGGTTAGTGGAAGACCTTAGAATCAGGTTTGTCTTGGGTTATTGTCTATATGCTTGGAAGCTGGGGAGAGGATGACACAGCAGGTGAGGTACTACCTAGGTTAGATAGTTTTGCGAGGCATAGTGAGAGCTTGACAAATAGTCTAACATGGAGATAAGTGGTGGGGAGCCATTCAGACAATTCCTGGAAAAGCTATGGTATCAAAGAATCTGCAGGCAGAAGAGCATAAGTCTGGTGAATTTAAACCTGGGAATGATAGAATGTGCATGTATCCCTAGGGGAAAATCATCCAAACTATGTTCACTTACAAGGGTTATCAGAACCTATAAGAACCTTGCCCCTACCAGGCGTTGGTGGCGCACGCCTTTAATCCCAGCACCTGGGAGACAGAGGCAGTCGGATCTCTGTGAGTTCAAGGCCAGCCTGGTCTCCAGAGCGAGTGCCAGGATAGGCTCCAAAGCTACACAGAGAAACCCTGTCTCAAAAAACCAAAAAAAAAAAAAAAAAAAAAAGATCCTTGCCCTTAGATGTGTCTATTACATGGAGCATTGGTCACAACAAGAAAAAGACAGTGACAGGTCTACTATTTCTTAGAAGTAATGTAGTTAATAATTAAAAAAAAATAACATATGAACTTGTATCATTTAGTTGGTGATCCTTGCTCCTTTGGAAGCAGGTATTAGTGGCCTTCAGTAGATTGGCCTTATAGGATTGTGATCAGCTCCCAAATGAATCTATAGATCAATCTCGGAAGGACTGGAACAAAGAACAGGAACCAAGACAGGGTGGTATTGTTGTATAGATAGCCAGTAGTTGAATGGAAAAGATAAATCAGGAAACAGATCAAAAGGAAAGGGGGTTTTCTTGTTATTCTACACCCTCCCAGAATGTATCTCCCAAAGTCTTTGTTTGGAATCACTCTGTAATTCTGCATTCCACTAAGTCCTTCAGTTTTTGAGAGAGCCCTGGGGTAGATAATGATGTCCTGATTTTATTACTAAGTCCTTCAGTTCTTGGGAGAACCCTGGGTATCTCGTGATGTCCTGATTTTATAACAGTATCTACTGGGACTTGTACAAATGAAGTGGGCATCACCTGAGGTTCTCTTTTAGAAGCAAATGGAGATCCCTCCCATATTTCCAGGAGCTTTCCCTAGGAAAGCACTCATAGTAATCTCTAAATCATACCAGTAAACTATGAATGAAATACTGACTCTTCAGCATTGGCTCTAAGTGTCTTGAGAGCTGAGACTGAAAGACTACAACTTTCCAATTAATCTCCACTATTTAGAACAGCACCTAGATATCTAGTTAAAGCTAATTGCTGATGTAAAAATATATCCTGAAACATCAGTGAGTTAACAAACTTATATGGATAAATAACACACATTTGTTCATTTAAAATCATCTGACATATGAGGTTAACCCTTTCCTGATAGAGATTTGAAAACCCAAGCTGTCTTTATTTCATAGCTGTGGCTTTTGGAAGATGAGGCCTCTACATGGCTGTAGCAGCAGAAAAGAAGCATCCTAAATCTTCCAGCAGACTATTATATGCCATGCCAATACCAAGCCTGATGGGCAGAACTAGCCACATAGTCCCAATTATCCTTAAACAACTGGGAAATGTCACTAGTTTAGGGAGCAAGTGCTACAGATACACTGGTGGAATATTGATGTATGCATAATGGGACACCCTGGAGATGGATGTCAGTTCTAAAGGCAAAATTCATTTGTACTTCATTCATAGTCTAAAGGTCATTTCCTCCATTGCAGTTTGACTACATACCATGGTGTGAAGTCGGGAATGGAACAGTATCATGGTGGCAGTCAGTTTTAGATTTAGGAGCATTTGGGATTTCAAACTCCTCAGCCTATGATGAAAAGAAAGGGAACCATTTGTGTAACTTCTGTCTGTTTGCACACCCTATTGTGAGCAAATAGAGGCAAGACAGCGATCTCATGGGGTCACTCAGGACACCTTTCCCAGTACTGGGCTTGAATTTGTGAGGACTGACCAAGTTCATCCTGTGCTGCACAGCTGGTGGAGTGTTTCCTCCACACACCGTTCCATGTGGCTTCAAGGGCATCAGGAGCAAATCGGTTTTTAAAATCTGCAATTAAACTCTTCCATGCACTCTGTATCGTAAGCACATGGAAGAATGTTTTATAAGGTGTTGAGATGGAGCTGGATTGGTGGTTTTGTTTGGTTGGTGGTTTGGTGGCTTGCTTATCTGGTAGCCTTCTATTTCCTGGTAGAATTGTAATGTTGCCAGGTGAAGTGAAATGCTGTATATGACCATGGCATTTTGAATATCTAAGGTACATGCCAACTCCTGCATTTTATAGGCCACTTTTGGCAACAGATACTTTCTTCTTTTCATAGTGATTAGTAGCCAGGCAACTGAAATCAGAACTAAATGTGTGGTTCTGTATGAAGTCTTTTCCTCTCTCTCTCTCTCTCTCTCTCTCTCTCTCTCTCTCTCTCTCTCTCTCTCCTGTGAAATGGAGGACAATAGTATTTTCTTTGGGGATGACAAAAAGAATTAGAACATAAGTGGACATAAGTTACTCACACAGTGTGTTGAATGTCATGGAACACTAGGCAAATGGTTGCAATGTATTGTCACTGTCATCATCATCATCATCGTCGTCATCGTCGTCTTTGTTGTTATAAAGATGTCATCATAATGTTCCAAACATGCATAATGAAATTATCTCCTGCTTAATTGAATCAGGAGATTCCCTAATCTTCCTAAACACTCTTATCAGTGTCTCTAATTCCTACAGAGAGCAAACAATTAACAACATAGCTGGACATCAACACTCCACTTGGGAGTTATTCCTTTGGAGCTCAGAACCTATTTTTCCCATAAACAAAATGGTATTAAAGTAGTGGTTGGATTCTAAGTGATAAAAAGCTCCCACTTAATTAATTAAGTTTCTGAAAATTGGTACAGTCACAGTACAAAAGGCTGCAAAGCCTTGTCTTTTTGCACTATAAAAAATATTTTATACATAATTTCTTTTATTTCTCATGAATGTTGCTTATAGAACATTCTTCTCACAGAAGGAGAATTTAGCAAAAAGTTAAGTAAGGAGTACCAAGATGCTTCTGAGAGTGCGTTCAAGGGCTCTGGAATGATCGAGTCGCAGAGCTGTGATACGAAAACCACTAGAGCAAAATGCAAGCGTGAATCAGTGCCTTGACCAGTGCAGAGAGAGTTGAGAAACACCCAAACAGCACACTCACCATGACAGCGCATGGTCACAGGATAAGAAAGGAAGTGACATTACAGAAAAGGATGCAGGTGGCTGAGGGTCACTGGGGTGAAGGTGAGAAATTACTGTCTTACAAAGCAAAAAAATGGTCATCATGGCCTGAAAGGATCCTGTGCCTTTAACATGATGGCCCAGAGATTTGACCAGGATTCTAGGCTGATTGCAACCACTGATCAATTCTTGCAGCCTCTGACTAAACAGATGCCTCTGTTCCCTCGCTTTCAAACAAATGTGACATTGTGTTTCTCAAAGCACTCCTGTGCTGGAACACTCATTTCCTGTCATTACTCTGAGGACAGACCTGTTACTGATCCAATCCTTCTCAGGTTAGTTATTTCTGTTATGGTTGTCCTGGGGCCTCCTCTACCTAGTCCCAGGGCTACTTTCCCTTGTGATCTTGTGATCCTCACTTTGCCTAAAGGACTAAGCCCTCAGTCCTAACCCCCTTACCCTGAAAACATACAGAGCCCCATCCTGCTCTACTCTTCCTAAATAATTCAGCCATGGATTTATTGCTGCTTTTTCAAAAGATAAGTGCTGTGGCTAAAGGCTTTGAAGATTATCCTGACTTTTGCAACATCTATCTTTGAGGTTGGAATGGTTTCAGCCAACCTTGGACCCTATAATCTCCCAAACTGTGGCCTTGATTTTATCTCTGACATTCTGAATCTTGGCCTAAATTCCAAGAGCTCAGCCAAGGACACATCCGGAATTACCAAGGAAGCCTTCAGTGAGACAAACTGCTTCCCTCTCCTCCCCATTATCTCCCAGTACCCCATGATTCTCGCCTTGTTGCCCACAGAAGACCCCAGAGTCTTCCAACCAAATGCAAAATCAGATACTCCAGAGTTTCTCAAGTAAAACCAACATGCAGCCTATAAAATCTTCAAAGGAAAACAATGAGTTGTCTAGGATAATTGACTCACCCTGAACAAAACAAGGTCTTCCTCAACAAGAGAGTCAGCTCCAGTTTATATCTTGAGTCAGAGATCAAGGTTTGAACGTCAGACCAAGCAGTAGATACCCTGAACGTCCTTGCTCTTGGATTTTCATGTGGTTGCTCATTTCTAAATTGTTCCTCCAATTTTCAACCCCGAAAGAAGAACTTGAAGAAACTTGAGGCGATAAAGTTCCTGAAACAACACCTCACACATGATCCATGTGCAAAAGACTTTTCCTTATGCCCAGCCTGTTTTTTGGGACAATCAGAGTCGAAAAGAACAGACGTGAAGCTCGTGATTGAGACAGGTAATGGGCACACAGGCAATCGAATGAATAGAATTCTCCCTTCAGCTTCCTCTTCCAACTCTGGTGTGAAGCAGATTACGATATCCAAAAACATTGCACTAAGTTCTTTCTCAGATTTGTGGGAAGCTTTGAATGGCAAAGTATGACCTTTCAACCATAACTCTTACATTGTTCTTTTAATAAGAATAATTAACTCGGGAGGGGGAGGGGTGGAGAGGAAGGAGGTGGGAAGGGGTGAAGGGAAGGGGGGAGGAGAAAAAGGACAGAGACAGGGAGGAATAGAGGAGGGCAAGAAAGGAGATGCCTTGATAGAGGGAGACAGTACAGGATTGGAGAGAGGTCTGGGACAGGGGAAATGTTAGGAGATCCACAAGGATGACCCCAACTAAGAGTCTAGGCAATGGTGGAGAGGCTGCCTTTGATGCCCTTCCCCTATAATGAGACTGATGACTACCTGGTTACCATTCCTAGAGCCTTCATCCAGTAGCTGATTGAAGCAAAAACAGGCACCCACAGCTAAGCATTGAACCATAGTCCTGGAATCCAATTGTGGAGAGGTAGGAGGGATGAGCAAAGGAGCCAAGACAGTGCTGGAGAAACATGCAGAAACAGTTGACCTGACCTAGTGAGAGCACGGAGACCTTAGTTGTAAAGCTGGGAACCAGCATTGGACCAAGCCCACTGAATGTGGGTGCCAGCTAGGAGGCTAAGACAGTCTATAGGACCTCTAACAGTGGAGTCAGTGTTTATCCCTAGTGCACAAATGGACTTTGGGAGCCCATTCCCTATGGAGGGACACTATTGCAGCCCAGATACAGCAAGGAGGACCTAGGCCCTTCCCCAAGTGATATGACAGACTTTGACTGTCCCCCATGGAGGGCCTCACTGTCCCTGGGGAGGAGGTGGAGGGGAGTTGGGGGATCTTGGTGGTGAATATTGGAGGATGGGAGGGAGAGGGCAAGAGGGTAGATATGTGAATATGAGTGCCTCTAAATAAAAAAACAAATAAATAAATAAAGGGGAAAGGGGAAGGAGGAGACCGGCTTCCAGAGACAGAAGCAGCAGGAGAGAGGAGAGAGGAAAGTAGAGAGAGAGAGAGAGAGAGAGAGAGAGAGAGAGAAGCAGACAATGGGAAAGAAAGAAAGAGAGAAGGATGGGAGGTAGGCAGGACCTTTTAAAAAGGGAACATAGTGAATATGTACAGGTGGCTGCAGCTGAGGGCGTATCCTGTCAGAACCCCAAGGGCAGACAGGTACAGATTCCTGAATACCACTAACTCTGTGTATGGGGGAACTGAAAGAAATTCCTTGTAATGGGATGGATGGTGTTAATCTATGTCTTTAATTCCACATGTTGGGTTTTTGTGAAATTGAAAGCACCAGCGTTTTGTGTCTGTATGTTTAGGGAAGTAATGTCTTCTTTGTTAATTATTCCCTTGATTAGAATGAAGTCTTCTTGATCTCTTTTGTTCAGTTTTGGTTTTAACTCTATTCTATTCTTTTAGGTATTAGGATAGCAATGCCTGTTTGTTTTTTGGTTCCATTGGATTGATTGCTTTTGTCCATCCTTTCACTTTAATGTTGTACCTATTTTTAAAGCTAAGATATTTGACAACATATAAATAGATTTTATTTCTTGGTTCAAAAAAAAAAAGAAGAATGAACTCAGTACTCTAGCGACCTTTACATACATCATAAAAAGAAAAATAGATTATTGTATCTTTAAGCTTCCAAAATTTTCTCAAATGTTATTTACCATGTAATTTTTAAAATGGATAATTGTATCCTTAAGCTTCCAAATTTTTCTCAAACGCAATTTAAATTACTGATCAAAATTTATAGATGTACTTTATACATCACATATAAGATTTACATAAAATTTATATTTTAAAATACTACCATGACAACATTGCTCTTTGCTGTTGAATTGAGGCTAGCATCTATCTTTGGGAGCTAACAGGAGCTATAGTTCACAAGTCATTGCCTGCATGGCTTTATTGTCTAATCATCCACAAGTTTCCTATTCTGAGCCTCATTCACTATTACTTGAAAAGAAAGAGATTATTAACATCCCATTAGGTTTCATGCCTCTGTCTACTCAACAGAGATGTTGACAGCTACTAGTAGATAGGAAGATTAGAAGGATGTATGAAAACAAGACCGCTTTGGTTACATTTAAGGATGTTGAGACTAATGCTGTATTGTCAAAGAGCCTTCAAATTCCATAATCGCAGTACTATGGACAGGTAACTCGAAGCTGCTTCTCTCGGATTATACTCCAGCTCTATGCAGGCTTTATGCTAGACGAGTTCATAAGACCGTTGCCATGTGTATTTAATGTATAGGATGCCAACGATCGAAATCTGCTGGAATTTTATCCCCCATCAAATCAGAGACATGGCACACAGAGGAATACTAAATTGAATTAATCAACACATACACACAGTAATTCAGTGTTGTACCATCCTAAAGCCAAGAGGTACAGTGTGTAGATCAGTGGATTCACTAGGAGAATTCACAGAACTCAGTATATAGTTGGGGCTATGGGTTATTTCAGTGAAAAGATGCAAAGGAAAGTTAGGATAGGGAAGGATCTGGGAAAAAATAAAACATGCACAAGCTTCCAAGAAATGCATTGATCTTCTAATGCCAATGTGAGATGTGTTAGAGACTGTGCCTACAGACTCATGTTGGGAGCTGGTTGTACGATTACAGTCTGCACCAAAGTCCTAGGCTCCTAGAAGGAAAGCAGATGTTCAGCACAAGTCACATTGTTTATAATAACAGTTCAGAAACACTACATCACTTTTATCAGGCCCCGCTGATACCAGTTTCTGGCCATAAACTGAGCTCTAACCTTGAAAGCAGGTCTTCTGAGCAATGACATTCTAAGGGCTGGTGTATTAACTTTCCTATGCAAAGAGAATTATGAACAAGCAATTGCAAGATAGTCAGATGTTAAATAAGTAATTCATTGGCCTGGGGTTTTTTCAGTTTTGTTTTTTATTGTTGTTGATGTTGCTGTTGTTGCTTTGACACATCAGCGAGCTAAAGGGGTAAATTAAATATGGTTGCTGAATTTTGTCAGATTAACTCAGCACCTCAGGAGCTTCCTGCCCATCCACTGACAAGATTACTCTATAGATGAAGTAAGTTCATTTCCTCTTCCTAACCTCCATCTAAAGCTTCCACATCCCAGGGACCCTGGATTTTGTCACAGAACTTCTGTTTAGCCTTTTAGGTAGGAATTATATGGTACTTCTCCGTTAGACTTTCTCAGACTTTTTCCTGGTTCCAGTTACTCGCAGGCCAGTTCTGCTTCATGTCTACCCCAGGCAAGATATTCAGCACCCCATATTTTCATTTGGCTTTTTCGTCCTTTTCCATTCCATTCCAGACTGAAGAGTGAGTTTCTGAGACGTATACCTTTCCCTCAGCCAATAAGCTAAAAGTCCTTTGGTTTCTACTTTTAGGCTGAGGGTAATTTTAACACTGTTGTCTCCTAAAGTACAGTTGGCTAGAGCTTTAGAGATCTCATTTCCCATCCTTTTCTTCCAGAATCTTCTCATGTAAGAGCCCTGAATTCTGTGACCAACCCCAGTGTCTACAGCATCTTTGCAGTTATTGATCTTACTGCCCTTGCTCCTATTTGAGAAGTTACTGATGACCCCTAAACTCTGCCTTCTTCACTCTTTCTGTGTGTTTGCATCAGAAGTACCATGGACCATTGCAGGGTTTGGATCATTGATGGCAATACTTGGAAACACGATGTGTTTGGCCAAGAGGTAGAAGGTGGTGACATTTTGGCAACATGTCCAATCACACAGTCAAGGAGCAATCAAAAAAAAAATAAACAAATTGCTTTCATCCTTGGGTAATTCAGACATCCTGGGGTTCCTGGAAACTCCCTGGACACTAATACAAGTTCAGACCTGATTTTTTTTTTCACACAGTGATATGAAGCCAAATGAAAGTAATGCCACTGAGACACAAGCTAAGAAGGCAGGCAGGAGGAGGCAGGTCCTGGAAAGGGGCAAGTGAAGTGATATGGACACATAGAGACACGAGGAGTGCAAAGAAACTTCTGTTACATGAAGATCCCAGCCACCTGCAAGGAAATGAGAAAGCAAGAGACAATTGGAGGAGGTTGCAATCTCTTAAGATGTGGTACAGCCTCAACCAGATCTAATGCAGGGAATGCAGAACATTAGACGCAGACATGGTAGATATCTAGAAGACCAAATAATCTGGTGTTGGGAGTGGCCAGGAAGAGGCTGGAGGTCTTCTGATTTGGGGGTCATCAGTAAATACACTCAGTTAAAGAACACCAAAATATATATGTTACATCTAAACAGCTTCATACTCTGGGCTCCCTTTATCCTCCCTTTTATGCCCAAAGTGTCCTCACTGGGTTTGTTCTGTTTTTTTGTTTTTTTTCCAGAAATGTCTTTGGTGTCTTTGGCAGACTTTAAGGCGCATGCACAAGAACACCTATCTAAGTTATCGTGGGACTTTATTGAAGGAGAAGCTGATGAGGGCATCACATACAATGACAACATTGCGGCATTTAAAAGGTCTTCCCTTTATCCTTTCTGTTGTTACTCTAATATGCACTGCTTGAGAGCTCCTGAGATGGCAACAGTTCCGGTGTCTGCCTTCAGAGAACACAGCATACACAGGAAAATGGCTGGCTTCTGTGTTGTTTCATCATGGTGTGGGGATAAGGCATAGGGAGCGGGGCAGAAGTTTTATAGAGAGAATCTGTCTTAGATCTAGGGCAAGTGGGTTATCAGTTCTCCGTATGCCAGCAACTTTGTAACATGTAAAGATGGAACAAGCCAACAGGGGTGCCTGACAGAGAAACCTGCATGCTGATCTGGAGCTCCTGGGCTCCTAAAGCTGCTGCCTTGGAGGAGAAACATGTGAAGGAGGGGAAAGGACTCAAATTTGGAGCAAATGAGATCAAAGGGTGTTTAGGCATAATAGAAGGTTGCTTCAGGTGAGAATTGGACTTGAAAATTAAGGGTTGGAGCATATGTCAACAAACAAGAGCTATAGCCAACTTTCTATTTGTCATAAAATAGTGTTTTAGATGTCATTTGTGAATTGCCCTACTGCCCTAAAGCAGTGTATAAGTCAATGAATTAGTTTTCTGGGGTGACAGGAGGGGAGTGGTCTATGATAAGATTGTTTTTTAGGATTTTTTAATTGTTTTGTCAATCTTTCTGGTGGCACCTAAAGTCCCTTCCTTCCTTTTCTTTCCCTTTGCTGATAAAGACTAAATTAACCATCTAAGCACTGAATGGCAAGTCACAGAGGCAGGACTGTCACAGCAAGACAGAGGCTAAAGTGGACTTAGGAGTTGCTGGGTTAATGTAGGGAAATGGTTTATTGGCAATTAGCCTCCTCTTGAATTGAACCTACACTGCTAATCACAAAGGGCTCAGAGATCTAAGCCTGCTCAGATCAGCATTGGGAGTCAGGCTCCCAGCTGCAGACAGGAAGTATCACCATGCTAGAGAATAATCTACCTTATTGTCTAGTGCAGAATCCGCCTCCGCCCCCGATACCTGAGAGACGTGTCAGAGGTAGACACCAGGACCACAATCCAAGGGCAGGAGATCGAGGCCCCCATCTGCATCTCACCCACCGCTTTTCACTCTATTGCCTGGCCAGATGGAGAAAGGAGCACAGCCAGAGGTAAGAATCATCCCACTTGAAGGCTCCCTTTCCAGAAGGCTAGAAGTAAGTGTGAGGCCTCACCCAGAGAAGTGTCAGGGGGCATCAAGGCTTCTTACAAAATGGCCTTAAGGGCATTAATCTCATTGGAATTAAGAGCAGTGACAAAGCTAGACAGTGGTATGAATGTCTTTAATCCCAGCACTTAGGAGGCAGAGACAGGAGGATCTCTGTAAATTTAAGACCAGCCTGGTCTACAGAGCGAGTTTCAGGACAGCCAAAACTACACAAAGAAACCCTGTCTTGAAAAAAAAAATATTAGTAGCAAAGGGATTGCTTAAGGCATCATTTGCATAACATTGCATGTATATACTGTAAAAAAAGAAATACATGCATTGGCCACTAATTTAGCTTCATGGTGATATTAACCTACTGGGGAGACACACTGACATGATGAAAGCAGGAAATGAGAAAAGATAATTCAATAGCCACGACAAACATTACTACCTTTTCCATTTGACAAATAAAGGAACTAATAAAACCACATAGAAAAGGAGGAATGGGACTCAGTCTTCTCAGTCTTTTCCAATATTTGCTCACGATTTTGCAGTGGAGCAACATTCCAGTCTCTACATCACCTCTCCTCCACCAAGAAATCCATAGGGTGTTTTCTTTCCTACCCAACAGGTATCACACACCTGACAGCAATTCTGGGGATTCAATAGCATCCCGTGTTAGATCTTCATTATGGGAAACAAGACTTACAGAGCAGCTTACACAGAAGAGAACACAAACACTAGGTCTCTCCATTAAACCAAACACTCTCTCATCCTGCCCTGTGGGGAAGTAGAATGGACTTGGGCTTTCACTACACTCACTGGGCAACCACCAGGGAGGCTAGTTCAAACAACTTTACCTTCCAAACTGGGTCACACCCTCTGCTTTGCAGCTGCTCAAGAAGCCAACGTCTGCTATATCACCAGCACTTATGCCAGTTGTACCCTAGAGGACATTGTTGCTGCTGCCCCCAGAGGCTTCCGATGGTTCCAGCTCTATGTGCAGTCAGACTGGGAGCTCAACAAACAGCTGATTCGGAGAGCAGAAGGCCTGGGTTTCAAAGCTTTGGTGATCACTGTAGATGTACCAGTAACTGGCAAAAGGAGGCGGGACATAAGAAACCAACTGAATTTAGAGGCAAACATAATGCTGAAGGACCTCCGGTCACCTGAAGCGGTGAGAAAGATGTCACACTGAAAGGGCATTACTTACAAGAAGTGTTTAGGCCATGTAGAGACCATTATTGTCCCTCCCTCTTTTCCTTCCTCCTCTTGTCTCTCCTTCCTTCCCTCATCCAGCCCCTCCCTTCTCTCTCATGCCTTCTTTTCCACAAATATTTCCCCCTGCCTGCCTTAGTGTGGCAGACACTAGAGGGGTAGCCGTTAAAGTGGATGACCCGGTTTCAGCTGCCCAAGCTTCCAGGCAGAACTTAAGGCTCCCCTCGCTGAAGCTGCTCAGACCCTCATCAGAGATGTTTAACCAGGGCTGATGTTGGGAGACAGGGGAGCCTGAGAGAGGAGTTGTGCAAGAACTGGGGAATAAACTGAAGTATTCATCTAATATTTTCAGTTTCATGGTGGATTCAGAAAGTGATTGCTTCCCATGGAACATACAGACAAACTGACTCTGGGAAGAAGACACTCACAGCACAAGTATACCACTAGCTGGTCCAGCCAGCTGGGGTCCCAATCTGCTGCCTTGTAAACTTAGAGCTCCCCCAGACACATTAGGACACTGCAGCATGTTTTTTGGAAACCTTTCCATTAAGGGACTACAATAGACCCTTCACTATCTAACAATCGAGAAAGATGGCATGCCCTTGAGAGTGAAAATCATGGTTACAGTGATAATGGCCTTTTCAGCCTGTGGACAGCTATGATTCCTCTGGATGCCCTTGAACCAAGAGACAAATTAAAATTTAAGGAAATCTGATGCATACTATGAGCCAAGGGTAGATAATGGGCAATGCCTACTTTAAGGTTCTTACTGCTTTGGTTTCATTAGGCCATGCATAGCTCAACCATAACATGTCAAAGTGGCTGAGCAGTGGTGGCACAGACCTTTTCTTCTTCTTCTTTTATTAATTTATTTTTTACATTCCAATCTCAGTTCCCTCTCCCTTCTCTCCTCCCACTCCCCCCACCTCCCATTTGCTCCTTGGAGAGAGTAAGGCCTCCCCTAGAAAGTCTACTAAGTCTGTCCCATCATCTCATTGAGGCAAGACCAAGGCACTTCCCCACCCCACTCCCACACCTCTGTATCTAAGCTGAGCAAGGTATCTCTCCATATAGAATGGGCTCCACTAAGTCAGTTTGTGCATTAGAGTTAGATCTTGGACCCACTGCCAGTGGCCTCATACATATCTCAGTCACAATATTATCACCTTTATTAAGGGAGTCTAGTGTTCTTAATTCATTTGTCAGACCTGAGTCATTGATCTCTCACTAGCTCTGGTCAGTTGATTTTGTAGGTTTCCCCTTCATGGTCTTGACTCTTTTGTTCATATTTTTGCCCCTCCCTCACTTCGATTGTACTCCAGGAGCTTGGCCCATTGATTGGTTGTGGATTTCTGCATCTGCTTCTGTTTCTGGAAGAGGGATCTAGCTTCTCCGGGGTTGTGGATTATAGGCTGGGTATCTTTTGCTTTATGTTTGGTATCCACTTATGAGTGAGTACATACTATATTTGTCTTTCTGGTTTTGGGTTACCTCACTTAGGATGTTTCTTTCTAGTTCTGTCCATTTGCCTTCAAATTTTATGATGTCATTATTTCTTACCACTGAGTAGTACTCCATTGTGTAAATATACCACATTTTCTTTATCCAAACTTCAGTTGAGGGGCATCTAGGCTGTTTCTAAGATCTGGCTATTACAAATAATGTTGCTATGAACATAGTTGAGCAAATGTCCTAGTGATGTGGATGTACCTCCTTTGGGTGTATGCCCAACAATGGTATGCCCTTCAGGGTCTTGATGTATATAGATCCCTAATTTTCTGAGAAATTGCCATACTGATTTCCATAGCAGTTGAACAAGTTTGCAATCCCGCCAGCAATAGAGGAGTGTTCCCTTTCTCCACATCCTCTCCAGCATAAGCTGTCATTGGTGGTTTTTATCTTAGCCACTCTGATCGGTGTAAGATGGTATCTCAGAGTGGTTTGCATTTCCCTGATGCCTAAGGATGTTGAGCATTTTCTTAGGTGTCTTTCTGCCATTTGAGATTGTTCTGTTGAGAATTCTCTATCTAGATCTGTACTCCATTTTTAATTGGATTATTTTGTAGTTTGATTTCTAGTTTCTTGAGTCCTTTGTGTATTTTTGAGATCTGGGTGGCACAGAACTTTAATTCCAACACTCCTGAGGCAGAGGCAGGTAATCTCTGTGAGTTTGAAGCCAGACTGGTCTACAAAGTAAATTCCAGAACAGCCAGAGCTGTTACATGGAGAAACCCTGTCTTGAAAAACTAACAAGAAACAAAAAGAAAGGAAGAGAAAGAAAAAGAAAATAAAGGAAGAAAATGCCAAATTGACTCATAACTATTTTTCTTATTCATCTCACATACTAAACTCTGCACCCTTTTAAAGTATAGATTTGTCTTATCTGTCATTGTATCTCTAAATCCTAGAGTAATTATCAAGCAAAAATATTGATTAATGGTCAATGAGCAAGTCATTGAAGTAGAAATTCTTTATGCAAGTTTTGTGAGAGGAAGGAGTTAGACTCGACGTTGGGTAGTATTGCTCAGCTTCCATAGCTTATAAATAGCAGTGTGCCAATTGTGTCTCATCTTTTGAGTGAATAAAGTAATGTGAACATTTGGGACTTACATCTACCTTCTCATTCCCTACAGGGAAATTCCACACAATCTGCCAAATTCCACATGTCTTTGCCAAGTAGATCTTTCTGCTGGAATGATCTCTCCTTGCTTCAGAGTATAACTCAACTGCCCATTATCCTTAAAGGGATTTTGACGAAAGAGGATGCAGAATTAGCAGTGAAACACAATGTCCAAGGCATCTTTGTTTCCAACCATGGTGGGAGGCAGCTTGACGAGGTTCCTGCTTCGGTAAGTTGGATGACCACAGAGGGGATTATCTGAATGCTCTAGGTGTGTCTACGCCAAAGCCCCCTACTGAATCTGGTACACATTGTTCTCTCTCACAGGTATTGCTTATGGCTTTTAAGGGTGAGTGATTACTAATAATAGCCTACTGTAACATGACCATTTTTGCAAACTGTCTGTGGAACATATCTAAACTTTGTGGCATTGCTGCAAAACATATATCCTTATTTTACAATTAGGGATACTGGAGTTTAGAGACATCAACTGATGTAAACAAGTTCACAATGGATAATGAGGTAGACTAAGGGAGATGCTCAAAAGGCATTGAGGACCCCGTCTTGGGCCAGCAGTGATCAGATTAAAGCTGGTATGTCTTCACGGAGTTTTAGAAACTTCAAGATTTCCTACCTGACACAATGCCGGAAGGAGCAGTGCCTCACGTGGACGCAGAAGTGTGCTTCAAAATAGAAGGGAATGCGCTGCCTTACCAATGCATAGTACATGATTGAATTCCCTGTGAAAAATCTGTAACAGCTAACACTAGCTCACAAATGTGTGTCTGTTCAGCGTGGTGCTCAAGAGAAAGAAACTGAGGAAATGGAAGTAGGGTAAAAGCCTTTACATGGAAATAATTGTTAATTTGTCTTCGTAGATATATTTATGCTCTCTTTTCCCCAAAGGCTATTCTCATTTTAACAAACGTAAATGAAGCTTTTTTCCTTCTCCATTCCTTTTGCCTCTTATAAAATACCCATGAACAAAAGAAAATGATTTTAAAACACCCCTCATTTTATCACAATCATTGGTGCTAATTTTTGGTGCTTATTAACACAATACATATTTTATGGTTCAAAATACACACATATTAATATGCTTCATATTAATTGTACAATGTATTAGGCACATCCTTTTATTTATAAGTCTCTCTTCTTTTTAATGATGTGTCATGAATGGGCAGATTATATAATCAACCCCTCATTGTTGAGTACCTGCATTGATTCCGGTATTTCCCCACTTTGTTTCTTTTTGTTTGGCTTGTTTGTTGCTTTTTTAACTTTTTAAAATTTAAATTAGAAACAATCTTATATTACATATCATTCCCAGTTCCCTCTCCCCCCCATGTCCCCCACCAACAACCCCCCCACTCCCCACCCACTCCTCAAGGAGAATAAAGCTTTCCATGGGGGATCATCAAAGTCTGTCACATCATTTGGGGCAGGGCCTAGGGCCTAGGCCCTCCCCTGTGTATTAGGCTGAGAGAGTATCCTTCCATGGGGAATGGGCTCCCAAAGTCCATTTGTGCACTAGGAATAAATACTGGTTCCACTGCCAGAGGCCCATTGACTGCCCAAACCAAGATCAGGAGCCCTGGTTTGGTCCTATGCTGGTTCCCCAGCTGTCTGGCTGGGGTCCATGAGCTCCCACTTGCTCAGGTCAGATGTTTCTGTAGGTTTCCCCAGCATGATCTTGACTCCATTGCTCATCACTACTCCCTCTCTACAACTGGATTCCAGGAGTTTGGCTCAGTGCTTAGTTGTGGATCTCTGTTTCTGCTTGCATCAGCTACTGGATGAAGGCTCTAGGATGGCATTTATGGTAGTCATCAGTCTCATTATAGGGGAAGGGCTAAGGTAGCCCCTCCCCTATTGCTTAGTTCTTAGTTGGGGTAATCCTTGTGGATTTTTGGACATTTCCCTAGTGCCCGATTTCTCTTTAAAGCTATAATGGCTCCTCTGTTAAGGTATCTCTTTTCTTGCTCTCTTCTATTCATCACCCAATTCACTCTTTCTGATTCCTCATGTTCTCCTCTCCACTCTTCTTTTCCCCTCCTCTTTTTCCTACCTCTTTCCCCTCCCCCCCTTCTCCATGCCCCCAATTTACTCAGGAGCTCTTGTACATTTCACCTTCTCTGGGGAACTATGTATGTCTCTCTTAGGGTTCTCCTTGTTTCTTGGCTTCTCTGGAGGTGTGGATTGTAAGCTGGTAATCCTTTGCTCTATGTCTAATATCCATATATAAGTGAGTATATACCATGTTTGTCTTTCAGTGATTGGGTTACCTCACTCAGGTCATTCCATGTAGCCCACACTAGCTTTGGCTCCTCAGTCTTCCCACCTCTGTTCCCTGACTGTGGGAATTACAGGCATGCACCACTAAATCTTATTTTTTAAAAAATATTTGAAACAATGCATCAGTGACCGTTCTTAAAATTAAAATCTGAAGTGTGTCCTTGATTAGTTCTTCAAAAGACAGATCCCAAGAAGCAGAGATTCCAAAGCTGCTCTGGCTGTGTTCTGAGCCTTGTGGAGCTAGCTGAGTGACTTCAGGAGCTGACACTCCTTCTCCTCAGGCAAATGACAGACCAAAAAGGCTCACTCTGCTGTGTCTCTCAGTGAAGCTGAACAGAGAGGTGTAGTCATGCCTCTCAAGGCTAGAGAAGATAAGGAAAAGCGAGGGAGCATGGGACTGGAAAGGGCCCTTTCCTGCCAGGATCTGGCTTACAAACCTGGCTCACTGGCTGAGTTAGTATGGCTTCATTGTCAATAATGGGTTTTGTATCTGCTTTTTCCCATTTCGTCTCATATATTTCCTTTCAATGAGCAAAAAGTTTGATACAACTAACAAAACCAAAACCTCAGTGGAGATTGCCTAGAGATAACGCTCCTTTCTCTGAGCAGTGACTCAGAGTGTTGAGTCAACAAGAAAACCAGATTGTGGACCAGAACACAGCTTTGGATTTTAACCTTTTCAACACTTCTGTCTCATCGTTGAGCTTGAGCAAGGCCTCTTGCGATTCCATCTACAAAAGACAATCCTTAAAGGAGATGAATAAGCCTGTCCTGTGAGTGTCCCTAGAAAACACTGTCTTTGTACTTCCTCTTGGGATCAAGACACAGCATTTTCAGAGAACCTCAGTATATGTCCTGTTCTGATCTATTGAAAATGGACCATTCTGCACCCTAGACTGAAATCAACTTCTACTTTTATTATTTCATGAATTTGCTTTTTAATTTAGTGTTTGAATTTATTAATTTTGTGTGTGTGCATGCTCACACATGTGTATGTGTATGTGTGGGCATGCTCCCCTGTGTTTATGTGTATGGTTGAGTATGGCAAATGCCCTCACCTGCTGAAACATCTCCAGGACATATTTTTCTGAGACTACATCTTCTGAGACTCATATGTAGCCTAGGCTGACCATGAACTCCTGGTTCTCTTTACCTCTGCTTCCTGAGTGCAGGGTTTAGAGGCACTACCACTCTTGGCTTCTGCATTCTATTTCTAAATTATTATCAGATACACTGCTGAGTATGACTAGAGGAGTTTTTATAAATATGCTTATTTCCTTTTTCACAGCATCATAAAAATATTCCAAATAATATTTGGACATGAGTTTTCTCCAGTTATTACATAAGTCCAAAATACATCCAGGACAGCATTATTTCATCCCTGTTTTTTTATTACTATTATTCTGTTCAGATGCAGCAGCTTTCCGATGGTTTCCTTCCACCTTGTCAGTATCTGGGGCCTCTATTTCAATGCCTCTCTTTGGTTTTCTTCAGAGGAGCACAGTTAATGATCAAAGGCAACTCAGAACTACCTCTTCAAGGACCTTCATCCCAGACCCCAGGAGGGGCCTGCTGCTCCACCTTGTAGACGTGGAGGAGCCAGGGACCTGTGGGTGCCAGATGGGGATGGGGGCGGGTAAGACACCGGAGGAATCAAGGCTTTATTGTCCATGTCTGGAATTCAGAGAAACCAGGACAAAGTGACTCTGGTTTTCCTTTGTCTTCCAAAGGCATAACTTGATCTTTTATGATGTTGTTGCTAGAGTCTTATTGTCATAGCTCTGAAGAGGATGTTGGGGATGAGTTGCCCATTCATGATGACTTAAGAAATTTTGCAGTTTTCCAAGACAAGCTGATGTTTAGACACTCAGGCATAACTGGTCATATTTATTCTTCTAAAAAAAGAGACTTAGTGCCCAAGCAGTGGAGGATGGCTCTAACTGTGACATCTTAGAAACATGATAGGAGGAAAATGAAAGATGACAGGTTCCATAATGCCAAAGTAAACACTGTGGATGGGAAGATGTATCCCTGGATATGTAAGTAAGAGCCAAGCATACCTTCTAACATGGAAAGGATTTTTAAAGAGTCAGAAGCTAGACTGGAGGTAAAATCAAAAATAGTTGGAAGGACAGTGAGCAGAAGTCTCATCTGGTCCCTAGGAGTCTCCAGCCTCGTGAGGAGAATGCTGAGTTCCCACAACTGCAAGCGAGATTGGAGAATATCGTGAAAGGCTTAGCCTTTGCTGGCATTTCCTGATCCTACCCTACTTTGAGAGGACACTCGTCCTGTGACCTCATGAGAAATAAAACAGAAATACCTGAATCTATGTGTGCATTTCCTTTTCAGATCGATGCTCTGACAGAAGTGGTGGCCGCAGTCAAAGGGAAAGTTGAAGTGTACATGGACGGTGGGGTTCGAACTGGCAATGATGTGTTGAAGGCACTGGCCCTTGGGGCTAAGTGCATTTTCCTTGGGAGGCCAATCATTTGGGGCCTCGCCTGCAAGGTAGGATTGCTATAATGAGATTCTGAACTCAGCATTCATCCCCATGGTTTTCCATAACCCTGTTTCCAATGAAAACATGTCCTAAAGTTCTTGCGAAACAGTTTCAGGCCGCCTCACCTTCAGTGTTCCACAGACTTCACCAGCCTTCATGCTTACCTTTCCCCCCTTGTTTTCTTTTAGTATCTACATAATTCTGATTAATCGATTGAATCCTCCTTGCAACTGTTCTGACTGTACACATAGTTGGGGCCCAACAAGTGTCAGAGTGTTTTATCAAAGCTGTGTCTCTCCCCTCCTGCTTTCTAGGGTGAACATGGTGTTAAGGAAGTTTTAAATATTTTAAAAGAAGAGTTCCAAACTTCTATGGTCCTTTCAGGTATGTGTTCTACTCATTCCCCCTTCAGAGCTTGTGGCTGGTCTACAGACAGAAGCTGAAAACCCTCACTCTGGTTTACCCTGCCTTGGCTCAGTAGTTGTCCTGAAGACAGAACAGGATAGAAATGTTCTACAAAGAGATTGGGGAGGGCTCTCTGACAGTGGAAGCCCTTTGCTTTTCTCGAGGTCATTGTCAGTGCTAAATTAGTTCAATCTATGGCTGCCTAAGGCTCCCACCCATGGTGTGAAATTCAACCATTTCCTACCTTCTCTTAAGAAAAGAATCTCTTGGTAGGTACATTTTTGTGATACGTGTGTATGGAGATGAAGGTGGCTACATCAAATTCAATACCACACAGCCTCTTACTAAATTCCTTCAGCCTTTTTATCACCAGGGACCTCTCACTGTCCTTTGTCACAACCGCCCAGGCCACCATGCTAGCTCTGATTACTTTGTTCTTATTCAGTCCCCATGTGGAAGCTCAGATCCAGTCTTCATGTCACACACTAATTAAGATTTTCTGACAATGAGCCATCTTTCCTTGACAGAAACTTCCCTAGAAGGCATTCGGTATGTGGAATACTCACCCCATCTGTTACAGTCTCCCTGAGTCTATTCTTCCTAACAGACTAGGGCATACTGCCTAAGTACACCCACCTTGTCATAACTGAGCTCAAAGCCAAAGACAGCTATGCATGCTATTAGGTTTGGGGTACTAAAATAGAGGTGTGTGTGTGTGTGTGTGTGTGTGTGTGTGTGTGTGTGGTCTTACATTTTGATGTGGCTATGTGTAAACTATGAACAGCTCTAAGATCATTGATTCCCACCACAACCAGAATTATAATACTCGTTCAATATGAACAGCACTTTATCAAGGTAAGCACAAAGATTAAAGGCTTGCTCCTGTTGCATCATCCCATATCATGGAGTAAGAGAAATGAGCTCTGTGATTGAAAGAGGAACACACACACACAGACACACACACAGACACACACACACACACACACACACACACACACACACACACACACACACACGTATGCACTCAAACATGGGGGAGACAGAGATAGCAAGAGACAAGGCAAGAGAGTATGAGAGAGAGAGAGAGAGAGAGAGAGAGAGAGAGAGAGAGAGAGAGAGAGAGAGAGAGATAGTATGTGTACATAGCAGCAGGTGTGGCAGTAAAGGACAATTCTTGACAGTTGCTTCTCTCCAGCTATTTTGTGGGATTCATACCCAGGTCATCAGATACATATCTGTATTCAGGGACCTCTCCCCACTAAGCCCTCTCACCTGCCTGGAAGCAAGCTTATAATTCTATGTGTGGTTCTTTCAGGTTGCCGGTCAGTTGCTGAGATCAGTCCAGACCTGATTCAGTTTTCCAGATTATAAGGAACTACTGAGACTGCCTACAAGGGGAAGACAGGCCCTCAATGTGGTGTGCAATGCTGTTCTTCTTAGGCTCTATCCTATTGAGTAGTTTGAGCCCTGTATCCTCAAAAATAGAGAGGGATGTAGAAAAGATAACTACCGCCATTGTGCATTTGGATGAAGGAATACCATCTAATGTTCTACTGGATAACTATAGTTGACAACAATTAATTGACTGTGTCAAATAGTCATGTTCCAAAAAGAAAGGAAATAGTTATGTTTGATGTGACACACCAGTTACACTCATCTGATTATTATGTATATTATACATTATGGAAATGCTATACTATCCCATAAATGTGTGCAATTAAAATAACAATGTATGTTCAAAAAGAAAAGGGACAGGGTTACCCTGATGCAGTTTTACTCATTCTGTCCTGCAAGACATATGGGAATTTTTAAGCTTTAATCCATATAGTCAAAGTCTGAAACATAAAACAGCAGAGATCAAATGAATGTTTGAATTATTCAAGGTTCTGATATTACAGAAATGTTATGTTCCATTGCCTAATGTCCATCCTAGATAGTAACTGGCCTCCAAAGAAATAGCAAAAGGAAGATTCTGACACTCATTTTCAAGACTCTATGAAATTAAAATGAACTATTCTAGTCTTTTAGCAACATGTGACAAAGAAGATACCTTTATTCTGTTCATATTGGTATTGTCAATAAATGTATGCTTTTCAACAAAGTTTATAGAGTCAAAATAATTGTAAAGATTAAAGTTTGAGAAAATTTCTGCTACCCAGAAGTCTCCAAGAACCCAGTCTCATGTAAACTCACACATAAGAAACAAGCCTCACCCATTTCCCAGAGGATGTGACCACATCTAGATAGATTTTGCTCCTCTTTAACATCTTCTACAGCCCCTTTGATCACTCCTTTTCCTGTGTTTCTATATCACAGAATTATGTGTCAGGCACCATGTATTTCTAGATCCCTCCATTTGTGCACCAGTAACTTTAATCCCACCATTCTCATCACATTAGAAACTCAATCTCTGTTCCCTCACCCACCTGGTTGTACATGACTGACTCCATCCATTGAGTAGTTTCCTAATAAACTATCTGCTTTTCAAACGAGCTCTGACTCCATTGCGATCCACATTAATTGTGTTTCACTTTACCTCAGTGATTGTCATAGTTAGCTTCAGCTGTCAACCTGACTTAGACTAGTGTCTTCTGGGAAAGGGAACCCCAACTGAAGAACTCCTTCAATAAGATTATCCTGTATCCATGTCTTGGGAGGATTTTTCTTAACTACCAATTGATAGAGTGCCTACCCTACTGTATGCAGCAAAATCCCTAGGCAGATGGGTTTGGGCTGTACTTAGAAAGCTAGCTGAGGAAGCCAGAAGACCAAGTCAACCTTTACCCTCTAACCACCTCATAACTTAAATTGTTTATGTTTCCCTGCTAATTGATGGACATGCTGTGAAATTTCCTCCAACGTTCCTGGTGATAGTCATTCTTACTGTAATAACTTCAAATGGACACAAAATAAATCTCTTCAACCTCAAACTTAGCCCTGGGGGTTTGACTGAGCTGTTGTTTGTTTCAAAATGTGTTCGATTCAAGAGTGAAACAAGGCCAGGCATTGGGGAGCATACATTTAATTCCAGCCCTCATGAGACAGAGGTAGGCAGATGGATCTCTGTGAGTTCAAGGCCAGCCTGGTCTACACAGAGAAACTATGTCTCGGGGGCGGGGGGGGGGAGTTCCGGGTATGATATAATTTGACAAGCAGATAGTAGCATTATTTTGTCTAAAACTGTAAGTGCTCCCTGAATCCATCTGCTTGAGTAATAGCCCTGACTTTTCTGAAACCTAGATTTAAAATAACAATTAAGCTGCTTTTTCTTCTAGGCTCCAACAGATAGACTGAAATTTCTAAAGGGAGAAACCAAGGCAATTACATAGAGAGAATGCCATTGGAGAGCTCACTATTGTCTAGAAGCATGAGTGTAAGATGACACACTGATCCAACTGGCAATAATTTCATGTGAGAAAGAGGAAGCCTACCACACTGACTAACCCAATTATGAGTATCAGGCCAGTGACCAGAGCAGGCTTATGCTCAAAGACTCTTGGCACTGAAGCTCAGGGGCACAGAATCTTTAAAAGCAAAAACCACATTGCGTCAACATTAGATGAGGGTCAGAGTAAGCTTATGACATTTGTTCAGTCACAAAATAATAGTTATTTCAGGCATAGCATGAAAATTATTTTCTACTTAAACCTTTTTTATTAGTTTAAATATTAATTATTTTGATTCATACAACTGGACTATGGTTATGGTCATATAAAACTCAAATGTGTTACCGAGGCAGACATGACTGTTATAGGGTAGAGAGTTGAGAAGTATCTAAGAAGAGAAACAATGAAGTCAGGACAAGACTTTTACATCACTTTAGTCACTTCAAAAGAAATGCATATTAAAATCTCAGAAAGAGATGATTTAAAACTTAAAAGTACTCTGTATTACACTATGACCTGATATAAATGGAAATATGAAAAGAGAAAATAGGCACATAGAAAGATGCTCAACACCATGCATATTAAGAAACTACAGATTAAAACAACAATAGGATATGACTGTATACCTATTGCAACATGGACAAGTCAAACCACTATGAACACCAAATGTTAGCAAGGATGCATGTTGCTGGTTAGTGTATGAAACATTATAGGCACTTTGTAAAATAGCTTGTCACAAAACTAAGCATCTTTACTAGATGAACCGGGAACTGTGAGCTATGGTATTTACCCAAATATGTTTAAATCTATGTCCACATACACAGAAAACAACTGTAGGAGTGTCTTTACAGGGACTCCATTCCAAACTGCCCAAACTCGGTAACTGCCATGATGTTCTTTTAATAAATTCATTGATAAATGCTGGCATACCCAGATATTATTCAGTTCCTGGGAGGAAAAAACTACCAAACCATGAAAAGACTGGAAGAACCTTAAAGGTATGTCACTAAGTGAAAGAAGCTGGTCATAAAAAGCTTCATAATGTAAAAGTCTAAACATATGACATTGTGGAAAGAGCAAAACCATGAAGACAGAGTTCACTGATGTGACAAACTCATCCTTCAGTTTAGGGTATCAGTGTAAGGAGGCTGTGTAGCTTTGGGAACCCTGTACTTCCTGCCCAGTTTTGCTCTGAAACTCAAACCATTACCTAAAGTAGTCCATGTAACTATTAATTCCCACAGGGGGAATGTAGCTCAGTGATAGAGCATTTGATCATGGTGCATGAGGTTCTGGGTATAATCCAGGCTGACAGGAGACAAAATGGTTAACTTTTGTGTACTTGATACACAGTAAATGACAATAAATACTAAATGTATTAGGGTGCTTATGTCAAGATTCGTATGGACAAGATAGGTCATATGACTCTTGATCTTCTTTAAAAATATTTGATTTTATGTATGTGTATGTGTGAGTGACTGTATGCATGAATGGGCATCACGTGTGTGTATGCGCGTGAGCGTGTGTGTGTTGTCTCCAGATGCCAGAAAGGATGTTGGAAACCCCTAGAACTGACGTCACAGACAGTTGTGAGCTACCATGTGAGTGTTAGGGACCAAATGCAACCCCTTTACAAGAGCAATAAGTGCTCCTAAACACAGACTACCTCTTCAGCCCCTCTTGGCTTGATCTTAACAATGCACTCCTTACATTTTTTTGAGTGGCCTCACTGGATCAAATGGGTGAATATTTAAATTATTTTGTCAGAGACAAACTTTCTTCAGTGTGCAGTTCTACAAATGGAACACCTGTCATCCTGTATCTTCACCAACACCTAATGACTACAACTATTTAAATATTTGCAAAACTAGCTGTGGTTCTTGAGAACTGAGTTTGAACTAGGTTTAGTGAAGGCTTAATGTACTTTATAACTCAAAAGAAATTCCCAAGAAAGGAAGGTAAATGACTGGGAGACATGACAATTTACTTTATTCTTTTCAGAAGAGTTGAATTATAAGAATCAGAATATTGGCATAAAGTGATAACACATTCATTGTGTGTGTGTGTGTGTGTGTTTTCTCATGAGGTCCAATTCAGCAGTACTTATAATTACTTAATATTAAGAATATGAAAAAAATCACCCAAACTCTCAACAATAAGGAAAAAATTATTACTTGTATTATTTACATGAAGGAATCTCACAAGACTATGTGTTCAAAGAATTATCAATGCAATAAGAAACCACTTTTTTGTTTTTGTTTTTTGAGAAAGGGTTTCTCTGCATAGCTTTGGAGCCATTCACAGAATTTACCTTGTAGACTAGGCTGGCCTCAAACTCACAGAGATCTTCCTGCCTCAGTCTCCAGAGTACTGAGATTAAAGGCGTGCACCCTCACTGCCCAGAGAGAAACCACTTTTAAGTACAGTCAGGTGCCACAAGCGGCCTATAACACTGCATCTGCTGTTACCACAATGCAACCCACACACAAATATACAAGCCTGATGGGGAATGTACTGTGTATGTTTATCTTATTGATTGTTAAATAAAATACTGTTTGGCCAATGAGATAGCAAGTTAGACGGGACTAGGAGTCAAAGAGGATTCTGGGAAATGTAGTAGAGAAGTGGTGATCCAGGCAGGAAGTGACATATCAAGGAGACTCATATCTAAGCGATGGAGAAAGTGGAAGCATCCCTTTTCCCCTTGCTCCTCTAGCAGCACAATGTGATCCACTGGAAAGGAGGGACGCCAATAAGGCATCGATAAGTCTTATAAAATATATAGGTTTATGATAGTTAAGACTGAGCTATCAGTTGAGGAATCCTAGTCATTGGTCAAGCAGCTTTGAACCTAATACAAGTTTCTGTGTATCCATTTGGGCCTAACTCGGGCGGGCGGCTGGCATAAAGCGCACATCTGGCAGTGGGGCTCGGCGGCTTTTGGTGGAAAGATTTATCGTAACAGAATGGTGTCAGACAAGCCCACAAAATCACCAAAGAGGTGAGAAAGAGGCACACACCCCTGTGTGAGCAATGCTAACTTGCAGCAAGAATATTTTCTTCTTTGTGTTTTTCTCATTTCTAAAGTATTCTCAATAAAAAAGTACTGAAATATGCAACTACCTAGGTAAACCTTTAAAATTACACTAAACAAAAGAAGTTGGCAAGATAATAAAATATTGCGTAAATCTCTTTATATGAAACATCCAAACAGACAAAACTATGGAGACAACATTTGCCCAGAATTAGGTGTGGAAATGGAGAGCAAGCAGCACCTACAAATGGCTATGTGGCTTTTTCGTGGGTGAGAAACACTCTATAGAGTACTGATATTTTTACAACAGTAGATATAAAAAAATGCTTTGAATTTTGTACTTTTAATTATGAGCCATTCATAAATTATGTCCATAAAATTGCCTAAAGGAAAGCACAATAAAAGCTTTGTAAACAATATCCTGCTAAAAATATTTTTGAGGAGTGTTCCCCTTTCTCCACATCCTCTAATTTGTATATTTTGGAGATCATCCCTCTGTCAGATGTGGGAGGGGTTGGCCCTCCCTGAGGAGGGGTGGGATGGGAGGTGGGATACAGAGTTGGTGGGAGGAATGAGAGGACAGGAGGGAGAGAGAACTGGGATTGGTATAAGATTGTTTTTGATTTAATAAAAATTAATTAAAATATTTTCGAAAGATTTTTTTCATTTTTAAATATTTAATTGTGCATATCTACGTGTGTCTGTGTACAGGAGTGCTGGTACCCACGAAGGCTAAAGGAGGGTGTTGGATTCTCTAGACCTGGAGTTACAGGTGGTTGTGAGCCACCAGACATAGGTGCTGAAAAGCAAGCTCTGGTGTTGGGCAAAAGCGATATATTATACTCCTTAACCAGTAAGTCATAGCTCCAGTACCTGAAAACATTTTTAACTTACTTTTTTATTTGTTCTTTGTGTCTTTTACATCATGTAGCTCCATTCCATTCATTTCCCCATCCCTTCATTTCCACCCTCTGCCCTTGCAAACTCCCCCACAAAATAAAATGAAATAAAATTTAAGGCAAAAAAAAAAAAAAAAACCATAAAAACCAGTCTCACCATGGAAGCTGCAGTGTGACACAGTGAGTCATAGTTTACCCTTTTATCCATATATCTTTACTTGCAAGTGTTCATTGCAGAGAGTCATTGGTCTGGTTCGAGGCCTCTAGTTTCTGCTACACTATCGACGCTGGGCCCTCACTGGAACTCCTCTTGGTTATTCTGTTGTTGCCCAGTGTCTTGGAGATCCTGAAGCTTTGGGTCTGCAGGATCAGTCCCTTCATGTGCTCCAACAGATCCCCAGATGAAGTGGAAGTTGGGGTAGGTCAACTCATAACCCTCTTTTGGGGCCTGGGTAGTTGCAGGGCTGGTCAGCCTGCCCCCTCTTCCTTGTCCTCGACACCAGGGTGAGCTTTCCTGCATTGCCCTGGCGAGTTCACCCCTTGCTGTGATGAGCAAGGGCCTGAGCCAGTTCTCCTGTT